TCCGATGACGAAACCAAAGACGACATGTCCATGTCCTCCTACTCGGTGGTCAGCACAGGCTCCCTGCAGTGTGAGGACCTGGCCGACGACACTGTGCTGGTGGGCGGGGAGGCCCGCAGCCCCGTGGCCCCCAGCCGCAGCGGGGGTTCCGTGGACGCCGACTGGAGCATCTCCTTCGAGCAGATCCTGGCCTCCATCCTGACCGAGTCTGTGCTGGTGAACTTCTTTGAGAAGAAGATGGACATTGGACTCAAGATCAAGGACCAAAGGAAAGTGGAGAGGCAGTTCAGCTCCTCCAGTGACCATGAGCATTCTGGGGTTTCCAGCTGAACACTGCGAGTGGGGGCTGACTCCTTCCCTCCGGTCTGGTTTCTCCCTAAGCACACCCTCCCCTTCTCCCCGGAAGCAGTGAACTGTAGAGGGAAAGAAGGCTGGACAGCCGCAGCGGGGGCCAGGCAGGGGCTCCCCGCCCTCTTCCAACCCTGGGCCCAGTGGGCCCGCAGCGTGCCAGAGCCTCCTGCCTGCCTCTGCCTGCCAGTGCCTCCCCCTGTGCCACAGCCAGGCCACACGGAGCCTCCCCCCACAGGCTCTCCTGCACGGACCTGCCTGTCGGCACCAGTGGTAGCTCTCCAGGAGCCCCTGAGGGACCCTGGGTGCCATGCAGGCGTATCCTAAATGTTCCTTCAGCTCGTCATCCTCACCGTTAACCTTAAACGCATTCCTCGGGTCCTGACGCATTTCCTTGTGTTCTTTCCCGTTAGCTAACAATCACAGTGTTTAATGCCTTAATGAGTCCCTGGGAGAACTAAAACCACGCGGTGGCCCTGGCCGGTAGGCTCAGTGGCTGAGCATTGCCCCATGCACCAGAAGGTCCCAGGTTCAACTTCCTGTCAGGGAACCTGCCAGGTTGTGGACCTGATCCCCAGGAAGGGCATGCAAGAGGCAGCCGATGGATGTTTCTCTCCCTCTCTCTAAAATCAATAAAAACATATTTTTAAAAACAACCATGCTGTGAACAGGAGCCTGGAGGTGGCTCTTGGCCACTGCTTGGGGCTCCTGGCTTCTCCACCTCGGGCTGCCTCCCAGACGTTCCAGACAGTCCCCGCAGGGTGGGTTCCAGGCTCCCCGGGAGATGGGGACACAGAAGGTGTGACGAAGGCTGAGCTGAGCAGGGCCACTGGTGACCTGTGACGGAGCCCCGAGCTCTGCTCCACACATGTGAGCAGTCTGGGCCTGGGTGCCGGAAGCAGGCTGGGGGCTACAGGGAACAGGCTGAGCCACAAGCGCCCTCTTGCTTTGCATCGGGAGCTGATCATCGGTGTCCAATGTTACACACACACACACGCACACACACACACACACACACGCACACACAGTAGCTCTTTTAGAAGATACCGCTTTTAAAAAAATCTAATATTGAAGGCCTTGCAGCACGGGTCCGCACGGGGCACAGATCCTGAGCCCACACCAGGAGGTGGCACCGCCCACAGTGCAGCGTGCAGGGGTCCCCGGCTCAGAGCCACCCAAGTATCTTCAGCTCAAGAAGTTAGAAGATGAGGTCCCTGGACGCCTGGACATCTCTGGCGAGGGCACTCCCCAGGTTACTGGGGTCTTTGAAGTAATGGTAGCAGGGACGTTGTCTCACTCTAAGAAGAGAGGTGATGGCTACGAGGACACAGAGCAAGTTTCTGATGCTGGTGGCCGCCATCACAGCCGCCCTGAAGGCGGAGCCCTGTGACCTTGGCCCAGCCCCTCTGGGCAGACGCTTGATAGGATGGACTGAACGGCCAGTCTTTTCCTGGTGTTCTGCGGCTGCCCAGCAGATGGACGCTCTGGTGTGTCCCGGAACCTCGCATTGCACACTGGCCCTGGCCCGACATCGCCATCTCCCTGCCTGCACTCCCCATGTCTCCCTGTCCCCCCTCTAGTGTTTGGGTGGGTCCTGCTCCAGGCTTCTTTCCCAAGGAGGAGCCGAGGGGGGGATCCAGTGCGTGAGTCTTAGGTTTCAACCGTGTTTGCAACATTCACAGTTCAATAAATATTGAACGAATTTTTAAAATCTAATATTACAGTTTTATTGGGACATAATTTACCATAAAATTTACTTGTTTTAATTTACAGTTCAGTCTTAAATTGACTGTAATCAATTAGGAAGATTTAAATAACTGGAAATTAGGATAAATTTTTATATACCATGGAGAAGTATAAATTTTAGAATATACCAAAGAAGAATATAAAAGAGAAATCTAGCCTTTCCATATTGTAGGATGGGGAAATTTCCTGGCTGGTCTAATAATTTAGCAAGAGACATATTAACAGTAGGAAACAACTAAATTTAATTACATATGTACAGAGGAATATGAGGCCCAGGACAACTCAGGCAGTTGAGGTTGATATGCCACCTTGAGCTAAGGAGCAAGGGGGTGGGTCGTGGTTTGGGACTTCAAAACAGAGATGGAGAAGCAAATGTTTGGTAAGCAAATGTTGGCTGTGCCGCCTTTAACAACGGCACAGAGAGGACTTCGATCAAGGGCGTTGCTGGTTCCTCCCTGTCCATCACACACATGAAGCTCGCTATCTGTGATGACAGCGCCCTCTCTGGAGCAGGCACTTCAGGGGAAAGGCAAAGGTTTTTCTGAGTCATTTTTTTTAAATAAACACCTTAAAATAACATCCGAAAGAGAGATATACCGAGGTTTGCAAGCTTTCAGCAGGTTTAACGGAATGTACAAAAATGTAAACAATAGTACTTACACCTATCATTCAACCTGAATTGATACTCAAAATTCTTTTTTTTATTTTACTTTTTTACTTATTTTTTATTAAATTATTATCTGAGTACATATTTTACCATTGCCCCCCCATACATACCCTCCCTCCCCAGAGTTTTGTGTCCATTGGTTGTGCTTATATGCATGTATACAAGTCCTTTGGTTGATCTCTTATCTCTCCCAGATCTCCCTACCCTCCCCGATGTAATTTGACAGTCTGCTTGTTGCTTTACTGTCTCTATATCTTTTGGTTCATCAGTTTATAATGTTCTTTATTATCCATAAACGAATGGATACTCAAAATTCTTAACAATCAGAACAGTATTTAAAACTTTCACAACTAAAAGCTTCTCTAAAAGAAAGGCCTTATTAATCCAAATGCTAGCCTGCAGAGATTAAAAATGGCAGCAGAATAAGTGAATGCTGCACAGACACGCTCCCAAGACCAAACTGGAATTACAACTAAAATACAGGAAAACTGCCCGAATAATCAATGAAAGAATTGTTGGAGAGAACCCTGATAACCAAGGATAGAAAGTGGAGACACACAGAGACTGGTAGGAGGGGCAGAGGCACTAAAGGGCTGGCCCAGTGTCCACAGACAATAACTAAAGTCCTCGAGTCTCAGCTGTGGGTGGTTGCCACTGGAACTCTGGGGTCTAATCCCTAAGTTTGCTCCCCGCCCCCCCCAGCACAGAACTGAGAAGGGTACCCACAAAACATTGGCTGTGAAAAGCAGTGCGGTTTTGTCTGCCAAGGAGAGAGAGCTGGAAATACAGGCACCCTCTTAAAGGGCCAATGCACAAAATTCCTGTGGAGACACTCACCTTGTGCTTTGGTGGAGGGAGGGCAGAGTGGACTGGGAGCTGTATGTGCAGAAGCCAGGATCAGAGGCTCTGGGGTTGGAACTCAGACGGCAGACACACTGGTTTCCTGTGCCAAGTAATTCCCTTACATTGTGTTCATCTTTCTCAAGTAGACATTTGACTGGGGGGATGACAGTTGACCCACCATATTGGAAAACACATTGTCCCACATTGCAGTTTCTGAGGCCCATTAAGAGACTGAGAATAACAATTACCTCCAGACAGAAGCAATTGCCCCACCCTGTTGAATAAAACTCCTGCCACACTTGTGGATGATTGCCTGAGGGCTATTCAACAGATCCTATCAGTCTGTAGGCAGAGACAGTCTCTGGAGGCTTTGAGTCTTTGCCTGATCTAGTCAGAAACAGCCCTAAAAATATACATGCATCTTTACTTCAAACTCACACTCTTTGTAAAGGACCTATATGATAACCCATGCTGTTATATTATAGTAAGCAACCATCCTTTAGAATGTTATTTCCATTTTTTTGTCCTACTTCAGTGAACATTGTACATAAATAATACATCCAGCCCTGGTTTGGCTCAGTAAATAGAGCCTGGGCCTTCGGACTGAAGCATCCTGGTTGATTTCAGGGCAAGGACACATGCCCTGGTTGCGGGCTTAATCCCCAGTAGGGATCGTGTATGAGGCAGCCAATCAATGACTCTCTTATCATTGATGGTTCTAGCTCTCCCTCTCTCTTCTTAAATCAATAAAAATGTATTTTTAAAAATAATAATACATCTGGGTGATTCAGGGTGTTTTATAACGGTTTCCGTTTTACTGCTCTAACAGCATCCCAAGGAAGGGCTCCTCTCGCCATCCTTGTCAGGCCTGGGAGCTGGAATTCTTTTAACCAGATGGTTTGTGTTGTCTGGCGGCTGGAGCAGAAGTGGCGCGAGGGGGGGTGGGGGGGAGCTTGCTCCTCCTCCTTCCTGAATGGGGACTGAGCGGTGGGGCTCCGGGGCTGCAGGAGGGATGGGTTGGCGTTTACAGCTGCCCGTCGCCGAGCCAGTTCCCGGGACCCCGCTCAGGTGTCCAGCTCAGGTGTCCTGCTCCCGGGCCGGTGGCCAGAGGGGAGGCGGCTGCAGCCCCCTCGAGTGGGGAGGAGGGAGGGTGCGGCAGAGGCGGACCCGCGGCAGCGGCCGGAGGCCTGGCCCTTGCGGTACAATCTTCCCGGCGAGTCCCGGGGAAGCGCCGGCGCAGACGGAGAAGGGACTGACTGGCCCTGGGTCGGACACGAACGCAAAGCTCCGCCCACGCCCCAGTGCGCGGCCCCGGCGTCGCAGGGGCCCAGCCACCCCAGGGCACGCTGGGGCGGGGGCGGGGCGAGCGCCGTGGGGGCGGGGCCAGGCGCAGGGCGCCGGCGCACTCGGCTGGCGGGGGCGGGGCCCGGGGTCCGGAGGGCGCGGAGGGCTGAGGAGCGGGGCACCCGCGTTCGCGGGCCGGGGACCAGGCCGCCATGGCGCCGCCTCCGCAGGCCCGGGTCCTGCGCTGCTGCCGCTGTCGCCTGTTCCAGGCGCACCAGGTGAGGGCGGCCTCCCCGCCCCGGGCCCCGGGACCTCCCGCGCCCGCCCGGCCCCTCCCGCCACGCGCCGTCCCGCGCGGTGCCCGTGGACCGGGACCGGCGATGGCGGTGATCTTGTCGCTTCTCCATGACGCCGCCCGGGCTTTGGGGTTTGCTTGTAAGGTTCATAGAAACCGGGGATGACGGTTTCGGCGGAGACGGCTCCATACAGAGCCTAACCCAGGTGGCTCTTTCCTGTGTGAATCGGGAGCGGGCGGTGCCACACTGAGGTGCCGGGCGCCCCGCCCCCTGTGCCCGCCGGGGCGCCTCCTCCTGTGCCCGCTGCCCCCCCCCCGTGCCCGCCGGGGCGCCTCCCCCTGTGCCCGCTGCCCCCCCCCTGTGCCCGCCGGGGCGCCTCCTCCTGTGCCCGCTGCTCCCCCCCCCGTGCCCGCCGGGGCGCCTCCCCCTGTGCCCGCCGCCCCCCCCCTGGGCCCGCCGGGCCGCCTCCTCCTGTGCCCGCTGCTCCCCCCCCCGTGCCCGCCGGGGCGCCTCCCCCTGTGCCCGCTCCCCCCCCCCCGTGCCCGCCGGGGCGCCTCCCCCTGTGCCCGCCGGGGCGCCCCGCCCCCCGTGCCCGCCGGGGCGCCTCCCCCTGTGCCCGGCGGCCTTTCCTGTGCCCACCCTCTGCTAATCCACCCTTCTCTGAAAAAGGATAGCATCAAACTTTAGGGCTCAGAAACTTTTTCATTTGTTGAAAGTAAATGGGAATCATTTCCACTAAAATGTTTTTCACATGTACTGTATGTAGTACATGCTCTGGTGGACCCGTTCAACTCTGAAAAGTGATTTGAAACCAAAGGGGAAAGAAAACCAACTGATTATATCATTATAAATAATGGTAGTTTTCTTTTTTTCTCCTTTCCAGTTTTCATACCTTTTGTCTTAAAATTCCACTGGTTAAACACCCAGGGGCAATTGGTAAACAATAGTGGGGAGCCCTGCCAGTGTTTCCCAAACTTTTGACATATGTGCACCCCTTCTATAATTTTCGTAACGCTGAGTACCCCTCGTACTCATGAGGACGTAGAATTAGGCGCAGCTAAGCACGGTGCAGTGCATATCCCCGCCAAACTCCGATGCAATGCGTACACCCACCAAACGCTTCCTGTACCCCTGGGGGTATGAGTACACTTTGAGAAACACTTAGAATCTAGACTAAGTTTTCATATGTGTGTTGGTTTGTTTTTTATTTTTTTCCATTGACCTTTTAAAATTAGTTTTTTGGTCCACTCCACCTGTTTTGAATAATTACTTAAGCTATATATATTTCTGAAATTTCATTGTAGATGAAAAAGAGTCTCAAATGGACGTGCAAAGCTTGTGGAGAGAAGCAGTCATTTTTACGGGTGAGTCCCAGGAGGCGGCATCTCCCCATGCGGGGGACGGTCCCGTCAGTACAGCTGGAGCCCGGCCCGAGGCCGGTTCTCTCAGGAAGTGGGAGGAATGGAGCAGCGGCCTGAAAGGTACCTTCAGGTGTTGACTCACTCAGCAAGTATTTGTTGAATACCTTTTGGTGTCAGCCACAGGAAGGGCAGCTCTCGCCCTCACAGATCTGCTCATGTGAAAGGAAAGAGAAACTACTGAACACACAGGCACACACAGGCACATGCATGTGGTTTGAAACTAGACTGGGCACAGTGCAAGGAAAGTGAGAGCATAGGCTCACTGGCAGTGGGCAGACGGGTTGGTGGTTCCGGGTGGGAGTATGGGAGCTGGTGGGCCCAGGAAGTGGAGGCGGGCGGGATGCCAGGCTAGTGAGGGTGTGCACTGAAGTGACCGCATTCTAAGTGCTTTTACCTAACCCACTTTTTCTTTTTTATTTTAATATGTATTTTTGTGGATTTCAGAGAGGAAGGGAGAGGGGAGAGAGAGAGATACATCAATGATGAGCAAGAATCATTGACTAGCTGCCTCCTGCATGATCCCCACGGGATTGAGCCCGCAACCTGGGCATGTGCCCTGACCAGGAATCGGATAGTGAGTGACTCAACCACTGAGCCACACCAGCTGGGCTAGCCTGGTTTTTTCAAGTCCATGTCTATTGACCCATCCAATCTCTTCAGCACCACTAACTGCCCTGCATTCGCTCCTCACTAAGCCACATTCGCCTGCATCAGCCCCGGATGCCACTGCTCCAGCCCCATGTCATCGCTCCTTCAGCATGGGAACTTTTCTTTCTGACTTGGAAACAATCCAGACCTGCTCCCCTCCCAGGCCTCTGTGCTCAGTTGGGGCTTCACCTAGCTCTTCTCATTATCCTGATCAGAAATTCCCTCAAAGGGCGCTCACGTGAGCATCGTCCATCGAAGACCGTTAAGTCCCATGAGAGCAGAGGCCTTATGCACAACTGTGTACTCTCGGCTCCCAGCACAGGGCCTGCTGCGTGGGAAGTGCTCAGTGAGTGCTTGCTGAGTGACTGAGTGACCAATCTCCCATCATGGGCATTTCCGTTGCTATTAGTTCTTATTGTTGTGGACAACTTAGCAGTGAAGCTTCTTACAAATACCTCTCTCTTCACTTGATCAATTATTTCCTTAGGGCATAATCCAGAAGCTAAATTTCTGTTTCAGAGGGCATCTTTCAACCAAGGGTTTTCAGTTGAGAAAAGGAAGGGAGGGAGGGAGGGAGGGAGGGAAAGAGAAAGAAAGAAAAGAAAAGAAAGAAAGAAAGAAAGAAAGAAAGAAAGAAAGAAAGAAAGAAAGAAAGAAAGAAAGAAAGAAAGAAAGACATTTGTAAGGCACTTCATCCTTGACTGTTTGAGGAACATGTTCCAAAAATTGAAAAGCTGCTGACAATGCAGGCACCATCTTTCCTCTCTTCTCCCTGCCTCCTCTCCTTCCCTGCCTCTCCCACACACAGATCACCCTCCTCTCAGATGACAGCACGCTGTTCCCCGCCCGCTGGAATAGCAGAGTCCCAGTTACCAACTCCTGGGAGAAGTGATCTGATTGGTGCTGTTGACTCAGCTGTCCCCCTCTGGCCAGTCAGCTGGGGAAGGGTGGGGCGGGGACATCAGTCAGCTAGGGTAGGTGCTGAGGCCCACTCTGAAATGGGCCTCAGAGGCGGGGCTGGCTTAGGAGCTACAGACACCCACAGAGTGCCTGCTGCTTGTTAGGTGTCGGCTTGTGCTTCTGAGTTCTCCCTGAGGAGGCTTTGTGGTCCTCGCACCATCTCCATGCATATGCAGTGGGTCTGACCTGTTGGCTAGACCACAGTAACATGGACGCCAAGATTCAGTACAGATGGAGGCTGAGAGGGACATGAGCCTGGAGGAGCTGTCTCCCCTGCGCAACCCCCCAGGCTTTCAGGGGCCAGCGTGGGAGGGCTCACATCCCACTGGAAAGAACCTTTGTCATGGCCGCACATGACTGCAGGGACGACTGGGAAGTGGAGTCCAGTTTGTGCCTAGATAAGGGGAAAATGCATTTCAGTGTCAGCCAGTGGTCTCTGCCATTCAGGAGAGCATATGCAGTACTGGTTTTGCCAGATGTGGGTTACATTCTTTTTAAACTTTACCATTCCCCCTCTAGTTCCCCTCCTTTCACTCCCACTTGAACTTGGGCCAAAAGGGATTTCACTCTGGACCAGTCCACTAACATGCCCATCAAAGTGTTGCTAACAACAATAGGTAGTGCTCAGTCCTCAACTGGCCTGACTGGGTGGTGGCATCTGTCAGTTTGTCACTTCCTCCTCCTGGAAACAATGTCTTTGCTTGGGTTCTAGTCATCTTGCTCCTGGGTTTCCTGTTTACCTGGCTGTTTCTTTCAATCCTCTGCTAGTTTTTCCCAGCGCCCCAGCTTCTACACCTCACCAAAGCCTACTTTTCCCACAATCATCCCCATCTCTTTCTTAGATTTTATTTTTTTATTATTTCTTTTTTCTTTTTAAATATTGTATTAATTTCAGGTAGTGGTTAGACATATTAAAAGGTGATCCCCCCTAATAAGTCTAGTACCCACCCAGCATCATACAGAGTTATTACAATACTAGAGGCCTGGTGAACAAAATTTGTGCATGAGGGGGGGAGGGTCCCTCAGCCCAGCCTGCACCCTCTCCAATCTGGGATGGCCGACTGCCCGCTTAGGCCCACCGGGATCATGTTGAAACGGGCAGTTGGACATCCCTCTCACAATCCAGGACTGCTGGCTCCAACTACTTGCCTGCCTGCCTTCCTGATTGTCCCTAACCGCTTCTGCCTGCCAGCCTGATCACCCTCTAACCCACATGTGTCAAACACAAGGCCCGCGGGCCAAATCCGTCCCGCCAGGCCTTGCAATGTGGCCCGCACCGCGCTGTCATCACTGCACTCCGCTGCGTTTCCATCACAATGACAGTTTATGATTGTTCAGTAAACCATTCGGCCCACGATTTAGGCTGGATTTTAGATTTTGGCCCCTTCTCTGATTGAGTTCGACACCCCTACTCTAACCACTTCCATGACAGCCTGATTGATGTCTAGCTGCTCCCCTGCCAGCCTGTTTGCCCCCAACTTTCCTCCTCTGCTGGCCTGGTCACCCTTAACTGCCCTCTCCTACAGGCCTTGTCATCCTTAACTGCCCTCCCCTGCAGGCCTGGGTCCCTCCCAACCTCCTCCCCTTCAGGCTTGGTCCCTCTCAACTTCCCTCCCTTGCAGGCCTGGCCCCTCCCAGCTGTCCTCCCCTGCTGGCCATCTTGTGGTGGCCATCTGTGTCCATATGGTGGCAGCCATCTTGTGTGTTGGAGTGATGGTCAATCTGCATATTACTCTTATTAGATAGGATAGAGACCTGGTGCATGGGTGGAGGCCAACTGGTTTGCCCTGAAGGGTGTCCTGGATCAGGGTGTGGAGTGGCCTGGGCAAGGGGCCTGTGGTGGTTTGCAGGCCAGCCAAACGGAGGCCCTGGTATCGGGTTTATTTGTCTTCTACAATTGAAACTTTGTAGCCTGAAGCAGAGCCAAGCCTCCTGCTTGCTCTGTGGAGGCAGCCATTTCTTTTTCTTTTTTTTTAAATATATTTTATTGATTTATTACAGAGAGGAAGGGAGAGAGATAGTTAGAAACATCGATAAGAGAGAAACATCAATCAGCTGCCTCCTACACACCTCCTCCTGGGGATGTGCCTGCAACCAAGTACATGCCCTTGACCGGAATCGAACCTGGGACCCTTCAGTCTGCAGGCTGACGCTCTATCCACTGAGCCAAACCGGTTTCGGTTTCGGCGAGGCAGTCATTTCTGTTGGAATTTATGTATTTTATACAATTGAAACTTTGTAGCCTAGAGTGAAGGCCTGAGCCAGCCAGGGCTGCAGAAGCTTGGCTTCCTTCATCACCCAGGGAAACCCTAGCCTCCTGCTCTTTCGGCTCAGTGGCTGCCACCATTTCTGTTGGAATTTATTTACTTTCTATAATTGAAACTTTGTACCCTTGAGTGGAGGCCTTGGCCAGCCAAAGTATGCGGAAAGCTTGGCTTCCTCCATTGCCTGGGAAACCCAAGCCTCCCTCCTGCTCTCTGTGGCTGCAGCCATCTTGGTTGTGGTTAATTTGCATACTTGCTCTGATTGGCTGGTGGGCATGGCTTGTGGGTATAGCGGAGTGGTGATTAATTTGCATATTACTCTTTTATTAGATGGGAGGATTATTGACTAGGCTGTACTTTATATCCCTGTGACTGTTTTGTAGCATCCAATTTGTACTTAATCCCTTCACCTTTTTCAACCCTCTCTCAAACCCCCTTCCATCTGGCAACTATCAGTTTGTTCTCTGTATCTATGAGTTTGTTTCTGTTTTGTTTGTTCATTTATTTTGTTTTCTTTGATTTGACATAGAAGTGAAATCATATATATTTGTCTTTCTCTGTCTGACCTGACCATTTCACTGAGCACAATATCATCTAGGTCCATCCACGTCTTTGCACATAAAAGGTGTTCAATAAACATGTATTGAACAAAGGAGTGACTGCTAAATGAAAAAGAAGTATCATTTTAATTGGTATTCCTTTGATTCTCAGTGAGGGGAATCATTTCATGTTTATCAGCAACTTGTGTAACTTCTCTTATGTTCATTAACCATCTTGTGTGGGGTTTGGGATCGAGTTCAGTTTGGCTATGTAAGTTTGGGGTACTAGTGAGCAGCCACATAGACTGAAACTATTTGTTGCCTGAAACTGTGGGTTTGTAAATCACTCCAGAGCCCAGCTACAATATTTTAAATGCACTGATGAGACGACAAGAAAGTGAATAACTATCAGGGGTCAAAAATGAAGCAAAAGTCAAATTCCAGAATAAGCAGTCAGTCACAGAGCTTCAGGCATGTGGGAGTACAGCTTTCCCCCCTAAGGTGCCTCTCAGTCCTGTCAACACTTTTTAAAATTAATATTTTTGTGTGTCTATTTGTTTCTCAGGCTTACGGTGAGGGCTCTGGTGCTGACTGTAGGCGTCATGTCCAAAAATTAAACCTGCTGCAGGGCCAGCTCTCAGAGATGTCACCCAGGTAGGTGGTTTGAGGGCGGGGCTGTCTTGCCCTGTTTTCCCTGGAGGGGCTCATGGAGATCTGTGTGGAGAAATCCCTGAGATTTCAGTCTTTCGATGCATCAGTTAGACACCCCGCACAATCTTCCCGCTGAAAACAAATCAGTTTGGAGACCAGGCGCTTTCAGCATGGCATGGCCTAACATGCTGATGCGGGCGTTTTTAAATCCAGCTGCCTGTTTTTAAATCCTCATCCACGGCTACGTTTATTGGTTTTAGAGAAAGAGGGAGGGAGAGAGAAACATTGATTGGTTGCCTCACATACACACCCCGACCGGGATCAGACCTGCAACCTGGGTATGTGCCCAATCTACGAATCGAACCCACAACCTTTCGGTGTTTGGAATGACATTCTAACCATCTGAGCCACCTGGTAGGACCCAGAGATAATCTTTTTTTTCCAGTGATAATATTTTAAATGCACTGATGAGATGACCAGAAAGTAAAAAACTATCGGAGGTCAAAAAGGAACCAAAAGCCGCCGAAACCAGTTTGGCTCAGTGGATAGAGCATCTGTCTGTGGACTGAAAGGTCCTGGGTTCGATTCCAGTCAAGGGCATGTACATTGGTTGTGGGCACATCCCCAGTAGGGGGTGTGCAGGAGGCAGCTGGTCGATGTTTCTCTCTCATCAACATTTCTAACTCTCTATCCCTCTCCCTTCCTCTCTGTGGAAAATCAATAAAATATATTTTAAAAAAGGAAAAAAAAGGAGCCAAAAGCCGAGTTCCAGAGAATAAGCCCCTGGCTGCAAGGCGAAGGGAGTCCGCGGCCCTGGAGCGCCCCGAGAGGCTGGGGTGTCCAGAAAACAGACAGAGCCTGCTGCTCGCTCTGTGGGAGGTCCGCAGGACACCACCACATAAAGCTGCGTCCCCCACACCCACGCCCTCAGCATTCAGTAACTAGAAATGCACTCCGCTGCAGCAGAAGCCCGCCTGGGTTGGCCTTGGCACTGGCCGAAGAGGGCGTATTGCTCCGGGATTTTATAAGTACAGGAAGCTGCCACATGTCTTCTCAGCCTTCTCCGTATGTGAAAAGCCTCAAGCTGAGACTTTTTTTTCAAACTGTCAGGAAGCAGAGGTAAATGCAGCTCCCCTCTGGAGCGACACATTTCAATCCCCTCAGATAGCATTCCAAAGAGTATGTATGTACTCACAGTCATTAAACACTCAAGGAAGCATGTCCTCTGAGCAAAAAAAAAAAAAAAAAAAAAGCAAAGCAAAAGACAGACTTCAGAATTTATAATGTAAGTTTACTATATTTCATTAAATAAAAGGGAAGGTTGGTGATAGGAGCAAGAATCTTTAAGAATAATTGAGTTGTTTTGAAAAGAGAACCAAAAGTAGTTTGTAGAAATGGAAAGTATTAGATTAAGTGCAGCTGAAGACAGAAATGGAAGATAAAACCAAAGAAATTATTCAAGAAGATAAAAAGGTGAAATATATGAGTTGAGAGCCACAGAGGATACAGAGAAGAGTTATTGTAAGAATAAAAAAATTGGGCAAATGCAATATTTGCAGAGAGAAGAGCCATTTTCTGGAATCAAAGGTATTCATTAGATCCAGGAAACAGTACATCCCAAACTGGAACAAGACATTGTGGATGTAGGGAATGCTAATGGACCTATACAACAGCCACTAGAGCTAAGAACTTAATTTAGCAAAATCACAAGGACACGGCAACAACATACAAAATTTAATCTTATACAAATGCAGTGAACCATTGGAAAATTATTGTTAAGATCAAATATTATAATAGCATCAATAAATGAAATACATATAGACATAATAATAAATGTAAAATCTGTTCAATAAAAACTATAAGACATTGCTAAGAGAAATAAAAGAGGATCTAAATTAACAAAAGATGTAATATGTTCATAGATTGGAAAATTCAATATCATTAAGAGGAAAGTTCATCCTAAATTGATCTTAGAGTAAACCTAATCTCAATCAAAATTCAAGCAGCCTTTGTTTTTTTGTAGAAATTGACAAACTGATCTTAAAATTTATATATATCTGCACAGGACCTTGAATTGTTGAAACAGATTTGATAAGAAGATTGTTGGAATACTTCTACAACCTGATTTCAAGATTTACTATAACAAGAATCAAGATATTGGTGAAGGGCTAGACACACAGATATCTCAGAAAGTGAATGAGTAAACATTGTAGTATATTCATTACAGTGGAATACTGCTCGGCAACAACAACTTGGGCAAATCCCAAAACACTGAGAAGTGAAAGAAGCCAGACACAAAGACCACATACTGTGGGGTCAGCCATTTTCTGAGGAGGGGATTGCCTGCAAAGTCAGAAGGGAACTTTATTGGATGAGGAAAATCTTATTTATTTTTTTAATATATTTTTATTGATTTCAGAGAGGAAGGGAGAGAGAGAATAATAAGAGAGGACCATCGATTGGTCACCTGGATGCCCAACAATGGGAATTAAGCCTGCAACCCGGGCATGTGCCCTTGACTGAAATCAAACCCAGGATCCTACAGTCCATAGGCCGATTCAATCCACTGAGCCAAACCTGGTAGGGCGGGTGATGAAAATTTTCTATGCCTTGTCAATTATATCTTAATACAGTTTTTTTTTTCAATATCTTGATTGGGGTGATAGTTTCAAAAGTATACTTTCTCAAAACTTAGTAACTGTACACAGAAATGGGTGCATTTTAGTGTATATTAATTGTCCTATATAATAAAAGAGTAATAGCAAATTGACCGTCACTCCAACACAAGATGGCTGCCACAAGATGGCCAGCAGAGGAGGGCAGTTGGAAGGGATCAGCCAAGCAGGGGAGGGCAGTTGGGTGGGACCAGGCCTGCAGGGGAAGGCAGTTGGGAGGGACCAGGCCTGCAAAGGAGGGCAGTTCAGGGTGATCAAGCCTGCAGGGAAGGCCAGTTAGGGGTGATCAGGCTGGCAGAGAAGGGAAATTGGTGGGGACCCATGCCTGCAGGGGAGAGCAGTTAGGGGGGACCTTGCCTGCAGGGGAGAGCAGTTGGGGAGGACCAGGCCTGCAGGGGAGGGCACTTAGGGGTGTCCAGGCCTGCAGGGGAGGGAGAGCACTTAGGGGTATCCAGGCCTTCAGGGGAGGGCAGTTAGGGGTGACCAGGCCAGCAGGGGAGGGAAGTTAGGGGCAATCAGGCTGGCAGGGGAGCAGTTAGGCATTAATCAGGCTGGCAGGGGAGTAGTTAGGGGGTGATCAGGCTGACAGGCAGAAGCGGTTAGGGGCAATCAGGAAGGCAGGCAAGCAAGCAGTTGGGAGCCAGCAGTCCTGGATTGCTAGATGTCCCAGACTGGAGAGGGTGCAGGCTGGGCTGAGGGACACATACCCTGTGCATGAATTTGGTGTACTGGACCTCTATACATTAATTAGGTAATTTTAAAAGTTAAGGAAAAATATGTCCTTAGACACAACATAATAAAATTGGAGAACACAGAAGACCAAAGGAAGTGCTGGAAAGCAGCTGAAGAGAAACAAGATCACCTATAAAGGAACACTAGGCACCCAAGTTCTCAGTGGTAACACTGGAAGCAAAAAGACAGGCCAGCCGAAACCGGTTTGGCTCAGTGGATAGAGCGTCAGCCTGCAGACTGAAGAGTCCCGGGTCTGATTCCGGTCAAGGGCACGTACCTTGGTTGCGGGCACATACCCAGTAGGGGGTGTGCAAGAGGCAGCTGATTGATGACTCTCTCTCATCAATGTTTCTAACAATCTCTTCCTCTCTGTAAAAAATCAATAAAATATATATTTTCAAAGAAGACAGGTCAGAATCCCTGGACTGCTGAGCACTGTCCTTTAGTTGATGAAGTTGTGTTCTGGAATCATAGGAAGGTGAGCAGAGTTTTGGTTGACAGCTGGCAGGAACCGCTCAAAGGAAGGCTGGCATAGCGACCATGAGCACAGCAGGAGTTCCATGCCTCATCTCATTTCATAATCACCCTGAGGGTCATCGGCTTTTTACAGATGAACAATCTGAAGTAGAGGTGCCCTCACTTGGTAGAGTTTGTGGTTCTCGAAATTCCCTAGAGAGTTCCGATCCAGTCGTACAACAGCTTGTCTGACATGGATGGATGTGCCTCCTGCCCTCGTACAGTCAAGGTTGCCACTGGACAGCAGCCCCACTCAAGGCTCCTCACTCTCTCTGTGAGAGGCCTGGTGTGCGTGGAGGTCTTCTGTGGCCCGTTGAGCTCAGATGCCTTCTCTGTGGAGTGGCTGAGATCACACATTGGTGCACTCGCATGCCCATGTGAGGGGCACATCTCCATTGCCGGGGAAGGGACTCTGTGCCACAGGAGTTCCGAGGACTTTGGTCTCTGTTTCCCAGGCCCTGGATGGGGCATGTGCATACATGCCTCATTTATCTTCACAGTCACCTGTGCAGTGTTACCCCATTTTGGATGAGCAAACAGTAATGAACCCAAAGTCACACCATGATAATGACAGCCAGTCATTGGCAAAGCCAGGATGCAAACTGGTCTCTGGGTTAAGTGTTACCCCCTCTATGTCACTTTTCCTGCTGATGGCGGGCTCAGCCAGCCTACCTCCCAGGAAGAAGTGGTCCTTTTACTCGGGCCTTGTGAACTGCTAGGAGGTGACTGAGTCACCTCAGAATAACAGTAAGACACTACGGTCCCTCTCGAAGTCTGGGCCTCCTTGTCAGGTCCTTGCATCTTCCTGTCCTTCAGCTTCCTGTCATCTTACACAGGTATCTGCACTATCTTTCCCTAAGGTCTCTGCGAGAACCCATAAACGCTGACGAGGAAAACACGGAAAACGCGGGTTCTGCGCAGGCCGAGCATGTGCGTCTGCAGGTAAGCCAGCAGCGCCTGGGGTTCCTTTTCTCTATTCCTCAGTCACTTGTTCTGTAAATGCCTGCTGATGCAACTGAATGGCAGGCACTTGGCTTAAAGCTACAGGGAACACAAAAATGAATAAACCTGCCCCCTTTGTAAGGGAGACCCCGCTCTGTATACAAATAATTACAACACTCTTTCCTCTGCTTGAAGAGCTCCTCTGAATTTAGCTTGAACTTCACTCCCTGTGCCTCTCCCCGCCCCACATCCCTCGTGCTCGGGGCACACTGGGGAGAGAAAGGACAGGATGCTGTGGTGAAGAACCTGAGGTTCTGAGTTCCTGCTCTCCAGCCTGAGCTCTCAGTGGGGCTCACATCCTGTTCTGTCTGTGCCTGTAAAGTAGGTGCTCAAATGGGTGAGCTTGAGTGATGGATAGGGTGACGCCATGATATAGCCAAGGTGCCATGGTAGGTGGAGTGCTATGTCCTGTCAAGGACAGGAGTGGGGGCAGCTGTCACACAGACAAACTCCCTGCCTACCTACGGACAGAACCCTGCCTCTGCTCACGGAATCGCCTGGCAACATGCTCTCCCCACAACATTCTGACAATTTTATCATAAACAGAGAAACCAGCCTTGAACACACCACTTCAACACAGCAGTTCTTGCATTTTTGGGTCTCCATTTCCAGTTTTGTCCACTTGGCCTTAATTTTATATCGTTCATATCATAACATTGTTTGCATCCTGGAGTTTTCACTTGTCATTCTATGTTGCTATAATTTTAAGTGCTTTTCATTTTTAAAAAGTAACCTACAGGAGATAATGGATGTGCCAATATTTATTCCTTTATTGGGCATTTGGGTTGCTTCCAAGCTTTCGCTGGTATAAATGCAGCTCCTGGGCCAGGGAGCATGGAGCTTGCCAAGGTCTTGCTGCGTGGTGCCTTGCAGCTTCTGATGTGTGTGTTGCTGTGCAGTCCCCAGTGGTGTCCCCACATGGGTACCTGTACTAGCTCACTTGGTGCGGATCACCTAGACTGCCCTCGTTCAGGGAAGAATTGGCTTCATGAGGGCGGATAGAAACCAAGATGGCAGCATAAGGTAAACACCTAAATGTAGCCTACCACAACAATTTAAAAACTGCAACTGGAAAACAGAGCGGACGTCGTCCAGAACCACCAGAAAGCTGGCTGAGTGGAGGATCTACAACTAGGAAAAAAAACAGGGAGGGACGCTGAGCCTCAGGAGCTGTGGAGGTGCGGAGATCCGTGAGTGTGGAAAAGGCGGGCAGCCGAATACACTGCTGGCTTGCTTGCAGTGTGAGGAGAGGTGGGCAGAAAACTCTCAGCTAGCTTTCTCGTTCGGGAGGAAAACAAAACCTCCTGATTGCACTGAGGTCCAGCTCGGTCAGGGGGAATGTTGGACTCTGAGGTGCGTGTGGCCAGCAGCCATTGCCACGGGACTCGGAGAATAGGACCCTCTTGGGGTGGGAGAGGCTGATGGGAAACCAAAGCTTGTCTGCACCACCCTGAGCCTCTGCCCCATCCAAGCTGAGCATAAGCACAGAAGCCCTCCTAGTGGAGACACTGCTGATCCTCATAGCCAATTGGCTTGGAGATCAACTCTCCCCAGTGATACCAACAACAAGCAAGGCTTAATTACAACAAGCTGCACATACAGCCCACAAAGGGCTGCACCAAGAGGGTCCACCACAGGTAACGGGAGGCTGAGCTACTGGGCCCTGCTAGGACACCTAATAAACAAAGCAACTCCATCAACTTAGGGAAGCAGCTAAAATGCAGAGACAAAGAGGCAGGCCTCAACTGAAGGAAATGGAGGAAAGCAAAAGACTGGATATAGAGTTCAAAACCACAGTTATAAGGTTCTTCAAGAATTTCCTAGAAAAAACCGATAAATTAAATGAGACCCTCAAGGATATGAAAAGGGATCAACTAGAAATTAAGCATACACTGACTGAATAAAAAATATTATACAGATACCTAAAAGCAGACTAGAGAATTACAAGAACCAAGATTTTTTTTTTTTTTTTTTTGCAAATTCAAAGATTTTGAATACCAAGAAGCAGAAAACACTCCTCCAGAAAAGCAAAAAGCAAAAAGCAAATACAATACAAAAAATTGAAAAGAGTCTAAGAAGCCTCTGGGACATCCTCAAGCATACAACATAAGAATTATGGGTGTCCCAGAAGAAAAGAGAGAGCAAGATACTGAAAACCTATTGGTAGAAATAGTGATAGAAAACTTCCCCCACCTGGTGAAAGAAATACACTTACGCCGAAACCGGTTTAGCTCAATGGATAGAGCGTCGGCTTGGAGACTGAAAGGTCCCGGGTTCGATTCCGGTCAAGGGCATGTACCTTGGTTGCGGGCATATCCCCAGTAGGGGGTGTGCAAGAGGCAGCTGATCGATGACTCTCTCTCATCGATGTTTCTAACTCTCTATCTCTCTCCCTTCCTCTCTGTACAAAATCAATAAAAAATATATTTAAAAAAAAAAAAAAAGAAAGAAAGAAATACACTTACAAGTCCAGGAAGCACACAGAACCCCAAACAAAAGGAATCTAAAGAGGACCACACCAAGACACATCATAATTAAAATTCCAAGAGCAAAAGACAAAGAATATTAAAAGCAGCAAGAGAAAAGTAGTTAGTTGCCTATAAGAAAGCACCCATAGGATTGTCAGCTGATTTATCAACAGAAACTATGCAGGCCAGATGGGAGTGGCAAGAAATATTCAAAGTGATGAATAGCAAGAACCTACAACCAAGATTACTCTACCCAGCAAAGCTATCATTCAGAATTGATGTCCAGATAAAGAGCTTCACAGATAAAAAGAAGCTGAAGGAGTTCATCACCGCCAAACTAGAATTATATGAAATGCTGAAAGGTATTCTTTTTTAAAAAATATATATATTGATTGATTTTTTTTTTTTTTTTTTACAGAGAGGAAAGGAGAGGGATAGAGCTAGAAATATCGATGAGAGAGAAACAGCTGCCTCCTGCACACCCCCTATCAGGGGATGTGCCCGCAACCAATGTGCATGTCCTTGACCAGAATCGAACCTGGGACCCTTCAGTCCGCAGACTGACGTTCTGTCCACTGAGCCAAAATGGTTTCGGCTGAAAAGTATTCTTTAAGAAGAGAAAGAAGAAGATAAAGATAAAAATTATGAACAACAAATACGTAACTATCAACAAGTGAATCTAAAAACCAAGGGAATAAAAAATCTGATGAACAGTATTAACTGGTGAATATAAGAGAATCAGGGGCATAGAATGGGAGTGGACTGACAATTCTCGGGGGAAAAGAGTGGGGGGTGTGGGAAGAGACTGAACAAAAATCGTACACCTATGGATGAGGACAGTGTGGGGGGGTGAGGGCAGTGAGTGGGGGGGAACCTGGTGGAAGGGAGCTATAGAGGGAAAAGAGAGGAACAATTGTAATAATCTGAACGATAAAGATTTATTAAATTAAAAAGAAAGAATTGGCTTCATGAGCAGAGCTGGCAATGAAAGTATGGCCAGAGCAGCTGACAGGCCTGTGGCTTCGGCCGAGAGTGGGGCAGACCTGTGTGCAGGTTTCTTCCCCAGGCAGCGTGTGTGCTGAGCGGGGCCTCTCTAGACCCAGGTGCGTCTTACTGGGCTACTGGGCAGGTGCTACTGGGAGGTAGATTTCAGGTCAAAATAAGAACTTTGTAACAATAAGAAGTGGAGCAGAGAAACGGCTGCCTGGGCCATTACTGGGCATGTTACTGGCTGTGGGGCGGAGCTCAGCAGGCCCCAAGGAAGCTCTGCCGGAGGACAGGTTCCTACCTGCACGTGGCATCAGACTCATGGTGATAGGATGTGTTCTCCTTTTAAAGCATAATGTTGTGTGTTTAAATATTTTTATTGCTTTTTGAGAGAGAGAGAGAGAGAGAGAGAGAGAGAGAGAGAGAGAGAGAGATGGGCTGCCTCCTGCACACTGCCTACTGGGGATACAGCCCACAAACCTCAAGTGTGCCCTGACCGGGATTCGAACGAGCAAACCTGTCAGTGCACAACACCCAGCCAACTGAGCCACAGAGGCCAGCGCAGGACTGGATTACTTTCTTTTTTAAATATATTTATATTAAATTCAGAGAGGAAGGGAGAGAAAAACATCAATGATAAGTCATTGATGGGCTGCCTCCTACATGCCCCCTATTGGGGATCGAGCTGGCAACCGGCGCATGTGCCCTGATGGGAATCGAATCAACCTCCTGGTTCATAAGGTGACTTTCAACCACTGAACCACACCGGCCCAGCAGGACTGCATTCATTTTTGTTTTGATAATCCTCACCCGAGGGTATTTCTCCATTGATTTTTAGGGAGAGTGGGAGAGAGAGGGAATGACCGAGAGAAGCGTCGATGTGAGGAGACACACATTGATTGGTTGCCTCCTGCACAAGCCCTGACTATGGTCCAGGCCTGGGAGGAGCCATTACCAGGGAGGTACGTGCCCTTGACCGGAATCGAACCCAAGACCCTTCAGTCCGCAGGCTGACGTTCTATCCAGGCAGGATTGGATTCTTGATAGCACTTCCCCTGCCAGGAGATGGAGCCAGAGCACTGTGTCCTCCATGCAGCCCCAATGGCCAGGTCTAGGGGGACTCTGGGGTCATGTTAGATACCCAGAAGGTCACTGATGGAGGCCATTTCCTCTTCTGGTCCCAGTGACTATTTTAATTGTCATGCTTTGTCTCTGTCTGAAGCACCTCCTCCCTCTGGCCTGTTCGCTTCCCTGCCATGCTCATCCTCAGTGTGACCTCCTGGTCAAGGACATTTTGATGCCTGAGAGGCAGTCAAGGTTGACCAGCAGGGCTTTTCTGAGGACCATTCTTGGTTGTGTGGAGTCCCTTCAGCGGACTGTCCACGCCCTGCCCTGGGCCTCCCCTTCATGAACACAGGTGTGCTCTTGTGCACCGATGCACCCTCCCCCCCGGACCTGCTCTCATTCCTGATGCTGCAAACCTAGCACTCACGGCCCCAGAAAGCAGGTCATGAGAGCCCCGGGGCCCAGGCAGAGAAACTGCTGGGCATCTGGGGTGGCCACCCCAGTATGGACCAAGGCTGGCGCAGAGCACCGGCTCAAAGCCCAGAGGCAGAGGCCAAACTGGTGCTGCCACTCACTGGCTGTGTGGCCCTGATCTCCAAATTATAGACTGCTGTTCGTGGCAGGTGCTCATGTGGCCGCCCCTGGGCTAAACATGTTAACGGAGTTATGTATTGCTCACCACAAGCCTGTGGCTAGTGAAGGCTCTGTGAGTGACTGACTGCAAGTCGGGGCAGGGCGGGCAGTGAGCAGGCCCGCCTCCTCAGTACTGCCTGTCGTGGTGGAACTCGCTTGGCATGCGTCTGGTCCCTGAGGGAAGGGAGGCCAGGCCCCAGCACCACCGTCTCCCCCAGAAGTGCGCTCTGAGCAGCCACTCCCACAGCTTCAGCCCCCTCAGCACGGTTCTGGTTCTGGGCCTTCCTGTCTGCCTAGCCAGGAGCAGGCTGGATGGAGTCCATCGCTTTGCACACAGCTTGCAGGTCTCTCCCCACTCACCCTTCCTCTCAGGCACCCCCCTTCCTGATCCTAAGGTGCCCATGAGACGAGAGCCTGATCACCTGGCTTCCTTTTGGGGAAGCCTGGTCACGGAATTTGGCAGAGGACTTGGAGTGCAGTCAAGGGCATTTACTCGCTGTGCCAATCCCCAGAATCAAAGGCTGTCCCTAGGCTGCAGCTCGAAGACAGCACAGAGCAGAACGGCCAGAAGCCGGAGACAAGAAGCGGCAGTGCACGCTCAGGGTCCTTGCTCTTCCTGCCCCTGATCCTGCCAGACCACTGGCCCTCGTTCTGAACGGAGGACACAGCCTCTCCTGCTTTTGTCTCCGTTGCAGGACCACGCTGGTCCGGCAGGGCCGGCAGGAGAAGGAAGCAGTCGAGAGGATGGGGACGCCAGGCAGCTCCCTGGCCCTTGGAGGGAACCACTACGTCCTGCCCAGCAGGTCAGGGCCACGTCTAAGTGGGAACGATTTCTTCTGCCGCTCGGAACCTCACATGTGGACACAGCACCCCCGACACCCCTGCAGAGGGACCCCAGGCCAGCTGGGGCAGCACAGGCTGAGCAGGGGTCCCCCAGAGCTCAAACTGCAGAAGACAGGGGCCTCAGCAGGACACCCAATCTGCCCCAGCTTCCTTGGGCCTCACACACTGCTACGTCTAGGCCCAGGAGGCCCTTGGGGGAGACCCCTGAGCAGTGGGGTACAGGCCCTCAGGCAGAGGGTGGGCCCTTGGTCAAAGGGGCACATGAGGCCCGAACGGTGCAGCTCTGTGACCTCTTTACCACTGGTGAGGACTTTGATGACGCTGTGAGCTGAGACCAGTGTGCTGTGCAGATGTGTTAAGTACCTAAGCCCTCCTCCCCTAGACCTGTCACTCAAACAGGGTTCCCCGAGGGGCTTTTCATTAGGGCTGGGGAGGATTTATGGGAACTAAGAACCGACAATAAACATGACTTTCAAACGGATCATCTTTTATTGCGACATCTTGGATTAAAAGTGCTTACACCATTTAATTGCAGTTGGTTTACAGATATGCTCACACAATAACTACAAAGGATCTTCTTACTTTAAAAGCAGGTGACAGATTTGGAAATGAGAGCTACAATGGTTGAGAGACAGGCAGTGCTCAGTGACCACCCTGGGTGCCTGCCAGCCCCGTCTGTGCCCTGAGGGGGCCTGCCCTCCCGTACTTGCTGCAGGACAACCTCCTCCTGTTCCAGCTGAACTCTGAGGAAATCAGCTACACATCAGTTACTATTAGTCACTTAAAAAAAGAAAAAGCAACCCTTAGGCAAGATGGATTCTGGGCTGTTGGTGATATCCTGGCGGGCAGAGAGCAGGGAGATGGGAGGAGACCCCCGGCCCACCCTGGTTGCACCTCACTTCCTCTCTCCCCTTAGTCACAAGGCTGGGAACTCCCTCCTGTCCTTGCCCTACTGCCCTAAATGGCTTCATGCATCCCACCCCGGTTCTGAAAGAAAAATGCAAAGTAACTGGCCCTTAGAGGCATGGGGTTCTAGCAAGCTCTACACACTGAGACCAGAAAGGGGTCAGGTGACGGAGAACAGCTGTCACAAGGGCGGCGGGTGCTTTGAATACTGGATGGTATCCAGGGCAGCCCCAATGTCGTAATTCTTGGTCTGTAGGAGCCTGGTGAGCCAGCCGCCTTCATCAGAGAACCCCATGGACAGCATCTGGGAGAGGGACTCAATGAGCCGGGGGTCAGCTTCTGCCGGAGAGAAGAGTAAAAGCCATGAGAGGAAGTCACTGGGCCCAAGTGTGACCCGCAGGCAGCAACAGCTCATCCATCCAGCAAGTGCCAGTGCCTGCAGGGCCTGGCCCTCCCTCGGGCGCTCTGGCCCTCAGGCACACTCCAAGCCAGGGATGGGCAAGCTTTCCAGCTGCTTTGCAGGCTGCTGGTCTGTCAACCACGCCATTCTGCCCTTACAGCATACAGGCAGCCAGACAGTATCTAAACAAATGAGTGCTGTGTTGTGTTCAAATAAATTTGTATTTACGGACACTGAAATGAGAATTTCATCTGATTTTCATAGGTCTTGACTTTTTAACGAGGGAGGGAGATAGGCTAAAAGTGAGGCCTCATTTTTTTAAAATTGAATTTGAGAGAGGAAAGGAGAAGAAGAGAGAAACATGGATTAGCTGCCTCCTGCACCCCTCCCACCCCGGATTGGGGTGTCCGGGCCAGAAGTGATCTGGCAACTCTGCTGCATGGGATGACACCCAGCCAACCGAGCCACACTGACCAGGGCCAGGTCTTTTTCTTCTAATTGATTTCAGAGAGGAAGGGAGGAGAGAGAGAAACATCAATGATGAGAGAGAATCACTGGCCGGCTGCCTCCTGCACACTCCCTACTGGGGATTGAGCCGGCAATCTGGGCATGTGCCCTTGACTGCATTTGGACCCAGGGTCTCAGTCCACAGGCTGATGCTCTGAACCAGCCAGGCTTTGGCCACAGGCGTTAACTTCTTAGACAGCTATTATAAAGGTGAGAAAGGTGCCCTGGCCGGTGGCTCAGCTGATTGGAGCGTCATCCTGTACATCAAAAAGGCTGCAGCTGAAACCGGTTTGGCTCAGTGGATAGAGTGTCGGTCTGCAGACTGAAAGGTCACAGGTTCGATTCAGGTCAAGAGCATGTACGTTAGTTGTGGGCACATCCCTGGTATGGGTGTGCAGGAGGCAGCTGATCCATGTCTCTCTCCCATCGATGTTTCTAGCTCTCTATCCCTCTCCCTTCCTCTCTGTAAAAAATCAATAAAATATATATTTTTTAAAAGGCTGCAGGCTTGAGTCCTGGTCAGGGCACATACATACCTAGATTGCAGGTTCAAGCCCCAGATTTTTAAAAAAATCATTCTTGGCTCACAGGCTGTAGTTTGTCTCCTCTGCTCTAGGCAGACAGACACCAGACTGGGCCCAAGGACCACAGCAGGCCCCAGGGTTTTCTCTCAAGTATTTTCTCAACACTGCCACGTGACCGATGAACCGAGCAGACGGGCTGCTCCTACTCAGCCCCTACTCAGCGTGTGCTCTCCGGCTACCGCGTCCCCACCTCCCCCTGCGGCCCCCTGCCTGCTCCTACAGGAGCTGGGCTGGGCCCTGTTGGGCCGGCACCTCCATGAGGAAGCTGAGGGCAGACTCGGAGTCCACTTAGTGGCACAGGGCAGTGCCAAAGCCAGGACCGCCACTACGTCACAGCTGCCTTCATAACTGCAGGTTTGCTGTCATGTTTCAGAAGTTACCAAAAGTAGCTGCGCTTATAAGGGGCTCAGTATAGACACAAGAGGACAACATCAATTCCCGATTTCCTCTCATGTCAGCAGACAGCCCCACAGTAGAGAACAGAACGACTTTCTGTGTTGCTAGACAGGTGGTAGGATCTCTGAATAAGGAAAATACAGCACTGCTGCAGTCACTTGCCTGGCGGCAGATGTGGGTACACGGCGGCTTCCTTCAGCCCTGTGGGTCCCTCCTGGGAAGGGTCCAGAGAGCTTGGCCCTTCAGACTCGGGCATTTGTAGAGACTGGAGTTCGCCTGTCGACGGGTCCACTTCCTTTGAAGATAAATGAGTCCAGTCATCGTCTCCTCCCGAGCAGTTGTCAGACTCCATCTGCTCCTGGAACAAAACCCCATGAGCACAGGCCCTCGCAGCCCCCCGGGCCGGCCGCAGCCCCAGCCCCAGCCCCAGCCCCTGGGGTGCGTGGGGAAGACAGGCTGGCAAGCAGCTAGAGGAGTATTTTTCTTTACCAAGTCCTAGAGGAGGGGTCACAGAACCACTGAGGTGCCAGACTTAAATCTGCGCTGGAACTGGGCCCTGGCTGTCAGTGCTGGGAGGGGCCATGGGGGGGGGGTCTGGGGGAGGCAGGAGGAGCTTGCCTCGGGCTGCACACCCGACTGCAGCGTGATCTTGTTTATTTGCTTCGCCAGAGCCTGTGCGGCTCCCTCCATGGCGTCGTCCGGTTTGCTGGAGTCAGAAGAGCAGCTTCCTGGCTGAGAGCTGCACCGCTCCTCTGCGCCGGGGCTGCCTGGAGAGACGGGCGTCAGGCGGCTTCTCTTCCCTCCATGCTCCACGTCAATGTCCACCTCGATGCCTAGAAGCCGAGGAGGAAACAAGACCCTAAGTCCTCAGAGGGCGAACTGCCGCTTACGAAGCGCTCTCACATCCAGCCCGGAATCAGGAAGGTCGGGAAGCTGGCATCCACTCTGGACCTGAGCCACGCTGCCACAGGACGGCTCAGACGGCAGCCGACCAGCAAGAGGGCAAGTGGATGGTTATCTCTGACCTCCACGATCCCAAGGGCTGAACTCCCCAAACCCTGGCCCAAACCTTCCTGGACTCTAGGAACTCACTGCACCTCTTCCTCCAGCACAGCAGGACATAACTGACACCCGGGTCAGTTCCAGAGCCAGGAAGTCCAGAAAGAGACCTTGCTTTCCCCTCACCAGGCAGGACAGATCTGCACAGAGGGCCAGGACCCAGGAACCAGGAGAGCAAAGACCACGTGTGGCCAGATGCCCTCTGGTGCTGAGGGCACAGGAGCTCCGTGTGTATGCAGGGCAGTGATGTGAAACCGCTGCAGACAGCACTGGAATTCTGCTTGGGAGGGACACTCTGCAGGCTGTATGTGGCTGGTACAGCACTGCTGTCATTCTTTCAGACACTGGGTACAGCCCGGGACAGACACTTCCTGCCACTGCCGGCACAAAAGAGCTCCCTCCTCGCGTGAGGGCATGGGTCTGTGGTCATCTTGAACCAGAAGTCACCTGTAACCATTCTCACTGCCAGGAGGCCCAGCCCTGAGCACCCACCCAGACTAGCAGACCCGCAGGGGTGCTTTCAGAAGCCCCAGAGGCCACACCTGTCACTAACCCAGAGACCTGCTCTGAACCTGGCGTCAGGCAGAGCCCCTTCCGCAGTCCTCTACCACTCCCAGCTCCAGGCACTGGCATCGGCCCTGCCCTCACAAAGCACCAGGAAAGCTTGGGGTTGCAAAAGAGAGGGAGGAAAAGAGAAAAGGCATCTGACTAACCCCAAGCTCATATGAGGAGGAAATGCGGCTATTCTCCCCCAAGGACAAGGCAGGCAGAGTGGGCAGGCAGCCCTGCAACTGAGCCGGTCAGCCTCCCCCTGGGATCATTCCAGCAAGCCCTGGCTGACCCTCCTGCACTCGGCCAAGCTCAAGAATCTGCCGGGAATCCAACCTTGAGCGGCCTGTGGTACAACGCTTGGCAAAGGTTGAGTGGAGGCCACCAAGCCTTACTAGCCACGTGGGTGTTCCCATTCCTCAGCAGTGTCTCCGCTGAAAGCTGCAGCCACTCCCACGCTGAGCTGCCAACCCAAGGACGCCAGGCCCACACTCACCTAGGGGGCTGAGGGCAGCTGCCACGCTCTCCCCCACGTTCTTGAGGAAATTCACACTGGGATCCTCCGATGGACCAGAAGCTTTGGTTTTTAAAATATAAAAACGGTATGTTTAATTCAAAGTGCATTTCTCAATGACCTTGTACCTATTGCAGTGCCATCACCTTCCTCCTGCACACTCCCCATCCTGGGGCCTTTCCTGGCAGCCTGCAACCCTGTGCCCTCCCCCAGGCCACCTCCTGGGCCCCTTCACCACCCTCTATCTGACCTTGGTGATCGGAACCCCAAGAGGGGCTCAACACGCACATTATACAACTACCAATCGCACCCTGGATATGTTATTTTCTCTAAATCAAATATCTCCATCCTTGTCCCAAAGGAGGAGGTGAATCAAAGGACACAGTAAAGTAATAAAACTAGAATCCAAAAATCTAGAATGCAAGCTATGTGTAGTTTCTAACTTTGTGACTGTGTTTATAAACACTTGACCTAGTTTGGCTCTGACTTTCTTGACGTTACCAGATGCAGGTGTGGAAGGTGCTGAGTGGCTGGGCCCAGGCTACGTCTAAGGCAGGTGAACGAGTGGCCGTGGGCACTTGGGCACCTGCTTTCCCATTTGTAAAGCGAAGAAGGTGCTCCGCCCTCTACAGGCTTTAGTGCGTGTGAAATGACCTCAGTGCCTGTGAAGTGCCCAGCCCCGCGCGGGCACAGCAGGAGTTGGCGTCATGGGAAGGCCCTCCAGCCTGCGGCCCTGCCACCCACCCTGCAGAAGCCGCAAATCAAGGCTCACCAGAGTCTGCTGTGGGGCTGGCCTGGGGGTCCCCCGCCCGAGGGGGACGTGGGCTCCAGTTCCCAGGCAGGCCCATCTCCCAGGCAGGCCACCCAAAGTGGCCGTGCTTCAGCTTCCGGAGCCAGCGGCTGTGAGAGAAGCCCTGCGGAAAGGAAATGGCGAGTGGCGTTGGTCAGGAGGCTCCGGCAGCGTGCGCCCACCCCGGCCGGCCGCGGGAGGCCGCTCACCTCGGAGAGATGCCCGAAGGGGCTGGGGAAGGCCAGCTTGCTGTGCTCGCGGTGCACGCCCTTCCCCTCGCAGCCGGCACACAGGTCGTAGTCAGGGCAGACGCTGCACTTGTACCGGGTGCCCACCACGGGGCCGTTGCAGCCGTCGCAGATCACATTGGGGTGCACCATGTTGCGGGGTGCCTCCTGAGCACACGGGGGGCGGTGGTCCCGCCGGCACTCCTTCCTCTCTGCATGGAGGGCAGAGAGCCATGAGGTGGGGTCCCACAAAGTCTCCCCTTCGTCACTCCCGGGGGCGGTCACCACTGTCAGCAGGCCCGTCCTGCTCTCCAGACAGAGTCCATGTGGAACTCAGATGCTCAGGCATTAAAAGTGACCCAGAACCTGCCGGGAGGGTCCCAGTGCCTGCGCATTACCTGGGCTCGTGTGGCCGTGAGGGAGCAGCAGCAGAAGGCTGTGTCTGTACAGCTTTGGTCCTGCCCTTCGCTAAAATAAACCCACAGCCCCCCAAAAGCTGCTCCAGGCCATGGTCTGGGCATAATCAACAGTGAACCCAGAGATTTTCTGCCCCGACCCGCTGATGGACACCGACTCCTTTCTCTCAGGGAAGCACAGATGGCGGCGCCCTCCCCGCAGCCCTGCACCTTTAATGTAAATCCGGAAGAGGTCATCCTTCACGTATGCCAGGGCCATCGTCAGCTCCTCATCGCTGGAAAAGGCAACCAGGTCCCCGTCCTCATCTAGATGGTGGAGAGAGCACATGAGCGCCCGCCCTCCCTGCACACACCGGGCTCTGCCTGAGCCACCTGAGGCCGGGGCAGCGCCGTGGCGCTGCGGGGAGGTGCGGCTCCAGCCAGGCCTGGCGAATGAGGAGGCAGAGTTCCCGTGTGCGCCGGCAGCAGCCCTAGTGGCTACTGCCCTAGTGCCCCTTCACTAGGGGCTGCCTCGGTCCACCTCTGACCAGCCCCAGACCCCTCTCCCACCTGGGACCTGTTCCTGGGAAGCCAGCCCCTCCAAGGCCTGGGCCTCCTGTGGGTTAGGAGAGGAAATCAGCTGACTACATCTGCTTGCTTCCTTCCCCAGTGAAGCTAAAACTATGGATTTGTTTGCCGTCTCCTTTTTAAATGTTGGCTCAAAATGGTGTTAAAGGTCACACTACACCACACCTCTGCAGGCTGGGCCAGCTTTTGGGCCACCAAACTAGGGGCAGTTCCAAAACGTGAAAACAACCTAAAACATCCATCAACTGGTGAACAAATAAGCAGGTGTAGGTCCATACAACTGAGTAGTATTTAGCCACACACACACACAAAAAAATAAAGCTGACACATGCTACAATACAAGTGTACCTGGGAAACATTATGCTAAGTTTTTAGAAAGCAGTTGTAAAGTCTACATATATATATAGATTTATCTGAAATGTCCAGAATAGGGAAATCCATAGGGAGAAAAAAAAAGCGCATCAGTGGTTGCCTAGGGCTAGGAGGATGGGAGGTTTGCTAAAGGAGGAGGTCCTTTATAAGTAGTGGTAAGATTCTAAAATTGTGATCATGGTTGGTAAAAATTGTACGTGTTAGCCCCACCAGCATAGCTCAGTGGTTGAGCGAGGACCTATGAAACCAGGAGATCATGGTTCCATTCCCTCAGGGCACATGCCTGGGTTGTGGGCTCCATCCCCGGTGTGGGCTGGCAGGAGACAGCCAGTCAATGATTCTCTCCCTCTCTGAAATCAATAAAAACATGTATTTCTTTAAATTGTACACTTTAAATGAGCGAACTGTATGTATGGCATGTAAATTGTAGCTCAATAAAGGTCCTACAAAAACAAAACCAACTGGGGACGGGCCTGGCACTGGGGCAGCGAGGTCCCAGCGCCGCCCGCCCTCCAGCCCCGCCCCGCCCCCGCCGCCACCAGTCCACAGCAGGGCAGTGACGGACTCCGTTCCACCCACACCGCCGTGGTTTTCAGCTTCCTTTCCCCCCACGGGCGGGATTACCTCTGCACTCGGCCCAGCCGCGGGCTTCTTCCCGGCGTCGGCCCGACCCCCCCCTCCCGGCCCCCCCCTCCCCTCCGCCCCGCCGCCCCGCCCCGCCCCGCCCCGGCGGCACTTGTTTACGTGCGTCACCCGCTCCCCGCCGCCCGGCGCCCCGCCGGTCCCTCCGGCAAATGAGAACCGGCCGGCGCCCGCAGGCCGGGCTGGGCAGCGGCAAGATGTCAGCGTCCCCTGAGGGCAGCCTGACCGCCCGGGGCCGCCTGACCGCCCGGGGCCGCGCCGCCCGAGCACCGCCGAGATCTGCCGCATCATGGCGGGGGGAGGGGAGGCGCGGACGCCCGGGCCTCCGGCGCCGGACCCCACGGAGCCGCGCGGCCCCCGCTCTGGTCACTCGGCGGCCCCCGAGGTGGCACCGGGCACGCGGCCTGGGCCGCCAGGGAGCGCCCCCCGAGCCCCGGAGCCGCCGGCCGCCCTCACCGCGGTAGTGCGCCTGGAAGCCGCCGGGCCGCAGCGCGGGGAACAGGGCGGCCACGCGGCCCAGCAGCCGCTCGCAGGGCCCGCGGGCCGCCGCCTCGGCCTCCGCCTCGGGTCCCGGGCTGAAGCAGAAGCTGAAGCGGCGGATCTCGCGGGTCGCGTCCTCCTTCCCCAGAAGGTACGCCTTCACGGTGAGCGACGCCATAGCTGCCTGTGGGGAGCGGGAGCGGCTGGCTGGTGGCGACGGCTGGAGCGGGCGGCTCTTGTACCGGACGCCGGCCCCGGTCCCGCCCCCTGGGCGGAGCCTCCGCCGGGCCCCGCCCCCGCGCTGGGGCCGCGGCGCGCGGGCCGCCCTGCCGGGGCCCCGTGCGAGCTGCCCCTCCGGCCGCCCCCCGCCCTCTCCCGGGATCCCCGGGCTCCCTCTCGTCCCCCCCACACGGCCCCCCGTGCACCGTGACCCCGAGGACGCCCTGCACCCCCACACCCAGCCCTGGCCCGGGCCTCCGCAGAGGAGGGGGGAGGGAGGAGGGGGAGGGAGGAGGGGGGGCACAGCCCGCACGGTTCCGCCCCAAACACCCCTCCGGCCTGGCCGTGACTCAGCAGAGCGGAAACGGCGCGGGGACGCCCCGCACCGGAGGGAGGAGGCGCCCGCCGGGCACCACCGCCCGGAACTCACTGGTTCCTGAGGGGCTGCGGCTCCCCTGCCACTCTCACTCCCTCCCCAGCGGCAGCCCCCCCTCCCTCCCGTGTGTCCACGCCGGCGCCTCCTGGGTTGAGGGGCACACGCCCACCTCAGCACCAAGCCCCAGAGGGGCGCCCAGTGCACTGAGCTGGGGCCGGAGGTGCTGAGGGCCCAGAGCCCCACGCAGCTGGGGCGCTCAGCTCCCCTCGCCCGCGGGGGTTCCGTCAGCAGGCAGTGTCCAGGCCTGCGGGGCCCAGGCCTGCGGGGTCAGCCCAGGGGTAGGACCAACAGCCCTACAACGAGGAACCAGGAGACATGCTTTATGTGACCAAAGTTGTTAGGGGCAGAAATAGAATATTGAGCTAAGAATATTCTGTTGGGAGCCAGCAGAGTTGAGGCGAGCAACTCAGTCTTAAGGAAATAGAATTAAGTTCCTTCTAACAGAAGTTATGCGGTGCCCTGAGGGCTTGGCCAGAAGATAAGATTAACCTGGGGGCTTAGCATCTCCTGTCTTCCTGCCTCTTCCCCTTCCTGATCCTCCCCCCCTAGACAGCCCAGTCTTGGAATGTTGCACCTTGGAATGTTAACATCTTTGCAACTTCCCCTTCCTGATCCTCCCCCATGGACACTGCCAGGGACCCCTCTGCATGGGCGGCCCTGCCCCCCTTTGTCTCTGCTGTATAAATACAGCCATTTCAGAGAATAAAACTGAGGCTTGATCAGAACCTTGTCTTGCCTCCATTCTTTCGCGTTCCTTGTTTGTTTCATTCTCTTAGGTGGTTCCTGCGTGCCCCCGTTGTTGTCCCGCGGGTGGGGACAATATTCCTTCTGCCAAAACCGGTTTGGCTCAGTGGATAGAGGGTCGGCTTGGGGACTGAAGGGTCCCGGGTTTGATTCCAGTCAAGGGCATGTACCTTGGTTGCGGGCACATCGCCAGTGGGGGGGCGGAGGGGGGTAGGAGGCAGCTGATCGATGTTTCTCTCATCGATGTATCTCTCTATCCCTCTCCCTCTCTGTAAAAAAAATCAATAAAATATATATATAAAAAAAGAATATTCCCTCTGCCTACTGTTCTGATTAAAGACAGCACATTCTAACCTGGCTGGGAGTTGTATGTGCCCGGGACAGCCTTGCCCGGAGTCAGTCTTGGAGTGTGGCCCATGCCCATTCAAGAACAGCTATAATATTACAAAAAGATGAACAATTAACAGCCCCGTGGCCCAAACAAGGGAGTCCTGCCCCTGCCCCCCCACCCCAGCCAACCTTTGCCTACCGTCCCATGCCTGGTTCCTGCTTCCCCACGTAATCTTTGTCCTTTGACCCAATATGAACAGCTGGCTTATCATGGGGTACAGAGCAGATTTTTGTGGGTGTCCGCTGCTCTCCCATGCTGTCAGCAGGACTGGAATAAACGCTCAGCTATGATTCAACCCTGTCTCCGCTGAATGGCTCAGCAGTGACAGGCAGCCGGACCCCTAGGTTGTCCGGTTGCAAAGTGACCTGTTCACAGGCCTGAGGAAGGGGCGTGGAAGGAGGGGTGGGGAGAGTATGTCACTGAATCCTCCCAGGTAGGGCCTCTGCGGAGAAGCTGGGACCTGTTGAGCCAAAGCCATGTACTTTCAAAGTCCTGGAGGGGTCTAGAGCAGGTAACCTCGGGGATGGGAAGCCAGACGCCCGCAGACACCGGCTCCCACAGGTCGGGTGGATGTGATAGTCAGTTGTGGCTGGTCCTTTCCAGATTGTTCCAGAGCAGGCAAGGCTGGGCATCCCGGTACAAACTAGCCCTGCAGCGAGGACAGTGTCCTCTCAGGCCACCAGCATTCCCCCTGTGAGCCTGGGACAGTGACCCTCCGCGCGCCGGGCAGACAGGCCCAGGGACCAGGGAGGGGCAGTGTGGGCAGAGGCCGAAGGGCCTACAGGTGCCCAGGAGTGACTCAGCAGCCTTGCAACCCCTGCAGGCTGGGCCAAGAGCCCCGCTTCCAGCTCCCAGGGCTCCGGTGTCCCTGGCTGATGGGTGGAGGGCACACAAGGAGAGTCCCGCGGTCTGGGGGACCGGGGTTCAGGGAAGGCCCAAGGCCGGCCCTGTCCAAAGATCTGACTGCCGGGAGCTGGCGGCTGCCAGCAGGACCGCCTGGCTTCCGCAGCCTGGGAGGTGGGTTTGCAGGAAGGGACGGAGAACCCAGGGAGAAACCGATGGCAGGAAACTAGCCCCTGAACCTGGAGACCCTCGCCCCTGGGATCCCCAGCTGCGGCCTTCCCAGCATGCCCTGCGAGCCCAGGCTCCCCCCCCCCCCCCCCCCCCACGGACAGGAGTAAACAAGGCGGCGGCGGGGAAACCCCCTGGCAGGGCCCTCTGGGGAGCCTCCCCGGTCAGGTGGCCAGGCCGGCGATGAGTCAGCATCCCATGACCAGCTGTCATGGCAGGGGGATCCCGGCCCTGCTGCCACCTTTCTGGATGGCATCTCACCCGCCAGCCAGGGGGGGGTGAGGAGCAGCAGTGCCCTGTCCTCACAAACAGCCCCTGCTGACATCTGTCCTCACCCACCCGGCGGGGGCCCCTCAGCCTCCGCGGTGCCCACTGCCCCTCCTCACCCTCCAGGGCATGGCGTTGGGGGGGGGGGGGCGTTCGGGGGCATGAAGCTTGGTGCCTGAGGCAGACAGCTATCCCCCACCGTCTTTGAATGGGTGGGAGTGGGCTGGAGCGCCCCTCGCAGGTGGGCCCCCGGGGTGCCGGTGGTCTGACGCCGTTGGAGTTGGCCTGGGGGGCGGGGGTGTCGGGAGGAGGCTGCAGCCGGTGCGGGGGTGAGTGGGCCTGGCAGAGACGGAGGAGGCTTTCAGGGGAGCTGGGGCGGGAGGCCGTCGGGTTTGGCTTATCGCTGTCTGGTGCGTGGTAGCCACCTCCTCAGCTCCTACTTCCTTTCCTGTAAAAACAACCCCATCCCTGGATAACGGTTTTCTGGAAATCCCTGTGTTTTCTCTGGGTATGGAGCCAGCCTCGAGGCCACTCCCTGAAATCAATAAAAATAAAAGGGTTCGAGTCCTGGGGGATGGAATAAAGCCGGGAACAGACATGGGGGGAGTGGGAGGTGTGAAACCCCGCTGGCCTCCGGGACGGCAGGACCCTGAGCTGGCCGCGGGCACTAGAGGGGGCGCCTCCGCCCCTGAGGGCACCGGGGGCAGGTGCCGGGCTCCCCGAAGCCGCGGGGTCGGGCCGAGGCCGGGGCGGGTCCACAGGAGCCGGAGCCGCCCGGTCCCAAGAGCACGGAGCGGGGCGCCCTCCCGCTGGGCCCAGCGCGGCTCCGGGCCTGGGGGGCGGGGGGGGGGCGCGGGCTCAGGCCACCGGGAAGGGGGCCCCACCCCGCCGGAGCGGCACCCTCCAGGCCCTTCTCCCTGGGGCGCCCTCCGGCTCCCGCGGGGCGGGGTGGGCGGGCCTGCGATAGGGAGGGGTTTGCGGTGGGAGTGGCTTGGTCCCCCAAGGCTGTTCATCAAGTGGGACCCCGAGTGGGCTCTGAGGAGTCACGACTGGGATCCGGGGTCCCGACCCCTACACGCCGCTACCCCCAGCAGAGGCCCCGCCTAATGCGGAGGTTCTGGGGGCGCAGGAGACCACCTAAGCCTGGCAGATTGGACAGACGCTCCTCCCTCAAGGAGCAGAGGGAGCAGAGAATCAGAGTTTGGGGGTCACATGGAGAGGGGGCCGCAGGGGTCGGGCTCCGGGCTCTGTCCGCCTCCACACCAAGGGCACCGATTGCTCCCAAATCCCTGCGGACGGCCAGTGCCTGGAGCCTGGGCTCCGCTTCTCCCGTTCGGCCTTCCACCCCGGCCCGGCTCCGTCACACCCCTGCGGACCCGCGGGCAGTGGGCACCCCTTTTGCTGCCTGATGCGGGGGGAGCTGAGGCGGCCCGTGTTCTGGGGGGGCCTTGGAGCGCATGCACATGTTGGACCTGAGCTTTGCCCCTGACCTGTAATCCTGACTCTGGGGCAAGCAGCCACGCTGGGTGGTTGGCTTCCGGCCACCTGACCATGGGCAGGGGGTATAGCTCGGCCTGGCACAAGTGACCAGGTGGAGGGAGGGCGTGGGAGGCCCTGGCCCTGGTGGCTGAGTGCCCAGGAGGATGGTCTGGCACGCCCTAAGCTGAGGAGAGGGTAGAGGGCTGGAGGGCCCACAGGGCCTGGGTCTCCTGGAGGCCAGGCCCAAGCTGGCAGCATGGCCACCTCGGTAGCCTTGTTAAAAGCATGTGAGATGGGAAGCTGGCAGCTGAGAAGGGTATACCATGAGAGGGCTGTGGGGACCCACTCCCCACCCTCAGGCCCTGTGGTTCCCCTAGACCCATGGTCAGCAAACAGTGGCTCGAAGCCACATGCGGCTCTTTGGCCCCTTGAGTGTGGCTCTCCCACAAAATACCACGGCCTGGGTGACTCTATTTTGAAAAAAATGGCGTTAGAAGAAGTTTAAGTTTAAAAAATGTGGCTCTCAAAAGAAATTTCAATTGTTGTCCTGTTGGTATTTGGCTCTGTTGACTAATGAGTTTGCCGACCACTGCTTTAGACAAAAGTTCTGGAGGATAGGGGGT